TGGCACCCACGAGCCCCTCGCCGGCCCCCGCAGTGGGGGGGGAAGGCGCGGCCCTGGGGTCGGACGGACAAAGCGGGCGTCCAATCGAGCCCGGCACTGCCTCCCCGAAGGGAGGGAGCGGCGGCTCGGACGGACCCAATGAACGGGGAGCCCGAGTGGGACTTCCTCCCGGAATCCCGTTGGCCAGAATAGCGGGGCCGTGGGTGACACGTAAGTGGGGTGGGAGGCGGCGGCGGCAGAGGCTCGGACCCCGTCAGTGACCCCGGCCCGCCTTCCCCCAAACCCGGCCAGCTGCCGGCCCCCACCCGTCACCCACCCTCGCGGCCGCGCGCAGAGTCGCCGCCTGGAGCCTGGGTCCCTTTGTTGGGGGGCGCACCCCCTCCTTTTGGTGGCAACCAAGTCGCGCGGCGCAGTGGGAACCGCCGCGAGGGGGCGGGGAGCGGCCAGGCGGGACTCCGAGCGCCGCCGGGGGGCAGCCGGGCCAAAAAAGTGGGGCGAAGAAGAAAAAGGCCGGCGGTGCCTGGGGAGCAGAGCGGAGACAGCCCGCTCAGAAGTATGCGGAGGGCCCCCTCCCGGGCCCGGGCACGAGCGGAGAGCGAGCCTCGCAGAAGTTTGGCGGCGGTCGCCCGGGCGGCGTCGATGGCTGCGCGCCCCAAAGCGCGCGGGGGCTGAGCGGGCGCCACTTCCCCTTCGGCCCGGCTTTTGTGTCTCGCTTCTCCTCATGCGGCGTCCGGCCAGCTCCTGCGGCGGCCGCTGCTGAGGCGCTCGCTCGGGCCGAGGGGAGGAAGAGACCGCGGCGGCGGGGCGGCCGCGGCGCGGGGTCCAGGCGGGACTATGGGAAACGGGATGTGCTCCCGAAAGCAGAAGCGGATCTTCCAGACGCTGCTGCTGCTGACTGTGGTCTTCGGCTTTCTCTATGGCGCGATGCTCTACTATGAGCTGCAGACGCAGCTGCGGAAAGCCGAGGCGGTGGCTCTCAAGTACCAGCAGCACCAGGAGTCCCTGTCCGCCCAGTTACAAGGTACAGTTAACGGGACGCACGCGGCCAATGGCCAGCTTCGCCCCGCGTCTCCGCCCCAGCTGGAAAAGTAGCTTTGGTGAGCCGTTGGCACTGCGGTTGCCACCTCTGACCTTCGGGAACATCAGAGGCGAGCCCTGCAGGGCCAGCAGGGCCCCAGAGTGTCAGGGGAGTTGGCATCTCCATCCTCCCGGCTTCTCCGGCCGGTTACATTAGAAATGGGTATCGCCAGCTCCTCTTTCCTCTGGGCGTTGGATAGGTGAGTGGACGTTGAGTCCTTTACTCCAGCTCTTGTCAAAGGCCCAGCTGCAAACCTGTAGCCCGCGTTCTTCTTCTGCTAGCCCATCCCGGAGGAGCATGGTTTCCTGGTTTCTAGGTATTTGCTTTCCATTTGACTTTGTCAGTAGCCTAAGTAATGAGGAGTTCGGCAGAGATCTCTCAAACTGTGCTGTTTTTTTAAAAGAGAAATAAAGCCATGACCCAGTGGCCCAAACTAATGGCCTAGTCTAATGGAACCCAGACCTACTAGTTTCTGTTAACTTAGTAGGGTGACTTTAGGGATGTTGGATATGTTTGAAAAGTCCTCGCTACTCCTGTTCACCATCCTACAGGTGTGTTTTTTAAATTTGTCTTCCTGAGTAACTTTTAGTGTATCAGAGTTAGGGGTGGGTGATTGTGTGTATTTTACAATTAGTCTTGAGAAGTCCAAGAAGAGAAACAGTTTTTCACTTTGCTATACACAGTAAACACAACTTGGTCAAGACCACAGAAAGACTTAGAGCTCCTATTCTTCTGCTTTAGAATCTCATTTAATGTAAATTTCAGAAACATAAATGATGCATGACTGCAAAGTAAGCACTACTGTGGTGTTTGGTGAGAGCATAGTTATCCTATGTGTCTATTTTGAAAGCTTTTTACTTGTACTTGTGGTTAGTTTTCAACACTCATGCAGTTCTCTCTCCAACCAATAATAATAAAACTAAGTAGCAAAATGTTGACAGTCTTTGCTAATAATGCAGAATAGCTTTTCATATTACTAGGAAGATACATGCTGAATAGATCTGTCAGTGTATGTGTATACAAATATAAAACAGATGCTTTTTCGTTGCTTCAGCTATTTTGAGTGTTTTCTAGTAAAAAATAAATAAAATGAGAGAAAATGATACACAGCTGATTGGTCAGATTTGCTCTTCCCAACTTAGAAGAAAGGAAGGTATTTTTAGCCTACTGAAGCTGCATAGCCACAGGCAGTGAAAATATGTGAGCTGGGCTTGGTTCAAAAAAAAAATCTGTTTTGATTCAGTCTTAGGTTAAGATTTTTTTTCTTTAAACTTCTTGACATTTACCCATGAATTGTCGTATGCGAAGTTATTTATTTATTTATTTATTTATTTATTTATTTATTTATATGCTATCAGCAGCTTCATTGTGAAATTTAGTACAGTCAGACTAAGGGAAAAATGTACTGCCTAATAGTACAATGGCAGGACTAGATTTTCACACTCATGGCTGGAAGGAGTTTGTGTAGTGGATTATATGAGGTTGGTGCCTTGGGCCTTGGTCTCTTACTTTAGGAGACCCACAAGAGCAAGCACTGTCATGTTCACCAGTAAATCTTTAGCACTGCTCAGTGCCTGACACTCATGAGAGGCTCAATATGTATTTATTGAATCAACAAACAAAATTATTTTAAACTAGTGAGAAATTAATCCTACACACTTTTGTCTGGTTTCTCAGGCTTCACTTTCCCATCTTTGCTTTTTGGAAAACCAAAGTAACAAAATATTTCACCCAAGTAGTACATTCCTGCAACTGCCAATGCTGAAACTCACTGGCCAAGGCCCTGATTTCTGAGTCATGACCTTTATTTGCAGTATTCTACATTGAAAAATCAATCTGAATTTCTTCTTTTATTTGCCTTCTTTTGATGGTGGTAGTGGGGGAGCTTGGTAGTAAGTGGTAATACAGGACCATTAAAATGCACAATATTTTCAGCAAGAGGTGAAAAAATGTTGCAGCTAGTTTGAATGAGTTGCTTTAAAGTCCATTTCTTAGTTTGTACTTTTGCCATTTCCTCTTGAGTTGTGCTGTAACAATTATAATATGATTATGCATGAAGAATTATTTCCCAGTCTACAGTTTCATTCTTGCTTTTTTTTTTTTTCCCAATGGATTCAATGTTGACTTGTGTAGCATTTGTTTTGGATTTCACATCTGCAGGCCATTTAATGAAGATTTTCTGATGGTGTGCAGGTTTGTTTCCCTTTTCCAGTGACAAACAACATTTTACTCAGCAGTGCTGTGCACCACCTGCATTTGCTTTTAGGGCATTAGACTCTCTATTCTTAAGATTTGTTTAGTTATGTGAGATCTCTTGACCTGGCTTGGATTAAGATCAGAATTCATTATAAGTGGACTTCTTTAAAAAATATGACTCTTGAAATATTTAAGTAGTTTGAACCTATAATCTGAAGGTATTCATTTGTTAAGTGAGCATATTTAGGTCATTTCAGTTTAAGAATGGGTTGTAATCCAGAGCTTATTTGAAGAGTAGGTTATGTCTAACTCCTGATGCATTTTGTAGTAGAACAGGTCCATAAGTAGGAGACAGTGGGGGTTGACATGGGGTAAGTACCAAGACTAGGCAAACCCTCTCCCCCACTGAAAACAAGTGTCTGTGTCTTTACCAAACCGTCTCTCACCTGTACTGTCTGTTAATTATACTGAGAAGCGGGGAGAGGTTGCATATTGGTGGCAGAGGCAGTACTAACAATCTTTGACCAGCACAGTGTTTCCTTAACCTTTAAAAAAAAATTTTAAAACTCCTTTCAAGTGGACCATGCACCATTCCCTGAGTTTACACATAGTGGTTCTTAGCTTTGACTGGCCATGAGAATTACCTAGGTACCTTCCAGACCAATTAAATCACAGTCTTTGGGGGTAGAACCCGCCTGGCAATCTCTTCAGGTGATTACAGTGTGCAGCCAGGGTTGAGAACCAGAGCACTATAATCTTAAAACTGAGCCACTTCACACAGTCACTTTACCTGTTTGTCTGCAAAGACATTTGAAGTTTGTGTTTTTTTTCCACCTTGATCATGTGATTCACATTCTAGTCCTGTAACTTTTTATGTGAACTTGGGCCTCAGTTTCTTATTTACGTTATAGAGATTAGAATGACCTATTCCATAGGGGTATTGTGGGGATAAAATCCTTATTAAGCTGCTAACACACCTAGCACATAGTAGGTACTGCTCATTACTATAGTCATAGTCCCTCTTTCGGGTAAGATATTTCTTCCCAGGTTTGTCATGGGTAACATTTTTAAATTGACAGAATTTGTTTTTATAGTTAGCCACTTCCTTTTATTGTTCTTAAGTGAACATCAAAGAAAATAGGTAAACTGTCATAAATCCGAGTCTTTGGAGTAGGGACCGTCCCTGACAATTTAGAGTATTGTTACTGATTAACTCTCTTCCGTATCATTTCAGATTAGGACAGAGTGTAAGTGCTAGAGATAAGCAATGACTTTTTGCGATAAGATCTGGGAGAGAGATATAACTTTAAATTTTTTTAAAAAGTAAGGGCAAGAGCCCCTCATTCCAAAAACACTGTATGACATGATTGCAGTGCCCTTGGTCTTCCCAGTGATGACCAGAACCCACCAATAAAAGGTTTATGTAATGTTTTCTATGCTCCTGTTCCAGATAAGTGTATTATAGCAATTAAAAAAAAAAAGTTTGATGCTTCTAAAGGTCATAATGTTATTTAAGTTAGCTGTCCTTTACATTGTGTTCTCCTTATACACAGGATAGCTAGCTTGAGTGTGAACACATTGTATTGTAACTAGTTCCTCTGTTTTCAACCAATTCGGAATCTGTTTTTTTTTGTTTTGGTTTGGTTTTTTTTTTTACGTCTCCTTCAGCTCAGGCCCAGGCTTTTTCTTTATTCTTTCATTTCTTCATTTCTAGTACTTGGTGCCTGGCATCTACCAGGTTCTCAATATTGATATTGTAGGTTTATACCTGTCTAGTATTTTCTCTCTGCCTATGAATGTGCTTATATGTGGGTGGGCAGTAAAGTGAAGCGAATAAGGGCTGAGGAGTCAGAGCACTTGGATTTGAGTTCTTGGGGTTTTTTGTTTTGTTTTGTTTTGTTTTTTTAACCAGCCATGTGATATTGGGCAAGTTACTTAACTTTTCCATGACCTGTTTCCATCATATGTATTAATCAGGATAATAGTGCTTATAATAAGTTGTCATGAGGATCAATAGTTGTTAGCCAGTATGTAATGCTCAGAAGTGTGCAGCTTGCAATTTGAACTGTTGGGGAACCTCATGTACAGCAGACTGGTTCACAGACCTCAGTAATTTAGATCCATGGGAGTGGGCAGTGAATGGTAGGTATACTCATTTTTAAGTGAAAACTTAGGACTTATAAACGTCATTTAGATATTGTCTATTTTCACTGAAGCTCATCAAGCTGTTTTTGTTTCATTCTGTTCTAAGGATGTAACTGAAATAATTACTCTTTAGGTTTAGTAGTTTTTATTTGTATGTAAAAGCCTGCCTTAAAATTCATTTCCTGAATAAAAGATAACACTTCTAAATACTTTTTGAAAATTTTACTCAATTAAGCATTCCGTTGATTATATTTGATTGCACAAATATATATGATTCCACACATTGTGTCTGCCTTAGTTATTCTTGTAAATTGGAACATGCCTATATTGGTTGACCATATAGGAGAATTGCTCACTATCTGTGAGCCTTTAGTTTAAGTCCCATGTGGACTGAAAGCTTTACCTTGCATGTTTTTTATTCTCTCCTGCCTTACCAAAGACAGTTTCTTATAGGACTGGTGCACAAGACCTGGTTTCAGTGACTTAAGGAATGAGTGAATTGGAGTTGGGGGCAATGATGACTGAAGCTGTCATGGACCAAAATGCAAATGATTTGGCAGAAACCAGAAGAAGGGGAGAGAGAGAAAAGGGGACTAATATCA